CTCACACACTCACACACTCACACACTCACACACACTCACACACACGCGCTTCACACACACAAACACACACTCTGTCACACACACACACACACACACACACACACACACACACACACACACACACACACTTCAAAACATCCAGATGTAAGTTTGACTTTGTTTGACACTAATAGAAAATGAAAGAATTGTCTTTAAGTTTTATAAAACATCAAAATGTTGCCATTGTGAAATTTTATTTTGTATGTTTAACTTTTTTTTTTTGTCAATGCAAAACATCGAACGAGATTAGTTGATTCTGACACCTACAACAAACGGCAGCTGTGAACCAAAACCACAAATGTCTCCAACATTGTCATGAATAACATCAGCATGATCTCACCTCAGCTGAACGCACCGAGAACAGCACTCGCTTATAACTACACTATAACTGCAAAAGCACTTCAGTTCCCAGAATGCATTGTGGTATAAAATATGCATTGCATGTATTCACTATTTGCTGGATTATTTCCGAAAATTAATTATAATTCTACATTATAACGTACAATATTGCAATTGTAAGTTATGATCGGAATTAAGAGTCAATCATAATGCAAAACTTGTTTTCTTAAAAGTGCAAAATGAAATCAAATGAAAGTAAATGTAATCACCAAAACTGTGTCCTCAAACGAAACAGATGTTTGAGCTAGTATCCCCCGACGCAGCACAATACAGTCGCATAGCATTGTGTTAGTATTATGAAATGCATTTTGTAAAATCATAGTATTCTACAGCGAGGCGTTCTGTAGCCTAATGCGCGATTATGAATTATAAATGAGGTTATGAAGTCCTGACAGGATGTGACTGTATCAGCTCTCTGTCACAGACTGCTATTAAACACTGATTCAGATGCTATTTTCTGTTGTATTATATGATATCTGAAGGGTTATTCTCATCGCATGCATGAATGAAGCGACGGGAATATAAGGGTACAGTCGAGCATGCAAACATCAGAATAGACTCAAACAATGATTTATGCTTTACCAAACATAACACAAATCACAATTCAATAATTCTGATGCAGCATTAAAAGCCTGGTTGAGAATAACGGAGCAGATTCAACAAGTCAAACTTGCGATCATGTTGTTAAAATATCGCTATCAGTCATTATTAATAGCGTGTCAGCTTTACTGCGTCTCATCGGTGAAAACTATCCGATTCTTGACGTTAAAACAACTAGAAGCAGAAGCGGAGACGTGAAAGAGGACTTACCCTGAGTGTAGACGAGGGCGCAGAAGTTGCAGGAGAGAAGCAAAATGAGTATCTCACAACACAACAACAACACATTAGCTTAGACAGAAAACAAATACAAATAGACAAGACTGAGAGATTGGAGATTGCAGTCGATCAGAATTATTTTTGGGAATTATGGAATAATTCAGATTAATCCAAAGAAGACAAACACATTCCCATCCATGACCCAAACATCTGGACTGAACATTTTGGGAAATCCTATTCACGATCCGAACCAACCCTTACCCAGAAACATCTGACCTCCCAATTACATAACCTAGAGTTCACTACAAAACCATTTAGACGAGCCCATAGCATTAAATTAACGAAGAGGCTATTATATTTCAATCCTGTGGCTTGCATGGAAGATCTAATGAGATGCTGAAACATAGCAGCCCCAAATTAAAAGATGCTATGCTGAAACGATCTAATCTCTTATTAAAATCAGGACACTTTCCTGAAATCTGGACAGAAAATCTGATAACTCTGACTTTTAAACAAGGTGAGAAGTACGACCCAAACAATTATCACGGTGACCTCGGAAAACTATTCTGCTCTATTATTAATGCCAGATCAGTTCAGTTCACTCAAGAACACAAGACTCTGAACAACTGTCACACTGGCTTAATGCCTACACACTCATACACAAATACCTTCAGCAGACAACACAAGAACAATATTTAGCTGCTTCATTGATTAAAAAAAAGCCTTTGATTAGGTACGGCATAATGGACTTTCCTAAAACTCATCCAAAGTGGAATAGGAGGACATCATAAAGGAAATATATAATGGGATCAAATGCTGTGTCAAAATCAATGACAAAAGGACTGATTATTTCAGTCAGAGGAAAGGAGTGCGTCAAGCCTGACTCTATTTAATATGTTTTAATACTGCACCAAAGCCTCTCCATTCTGGAGAAGTACAGTAGCGATTGGGCCTTACCAATAAACATGGAGGACGAGCTGCGCATAAACACATTAGAGACTCAAGTTTCACTGTAATTCCAGCAAGTGAGCAACATAGAGAAACTCTCGTATATTTTGGGCGAGACAGAAACGTGTATCATAACATCATATGAGGGACGAAGGCTGAACTGCTCTCTGTACTCATTCACATTTGAACATATATGTATAATGAGGGCATGTATTGTGGCAACATTGTGATATGTCACACGGTCACGCCAATAAAGCTAATTTGAAATGAATTGAAAGCGAGAGAGAGAGAGAGAGCTCTTCATTGGAGAAAATATAAAGAGGTGAGAGAGAAATACTTTGACAAACTCACAGTTTTATAGTTCTCCAGAAACGGATCAAATGCAGATATTACTGGGGATATTACAGTTACCCATCGAAGGCAGCAAAATTCATTTTTCAGCTGCACACCCACAGAAACCAACTACTGTCTTGATTGATATAATCAGAGACTATCCATGTACATACATTACAGTATTTATTTTTATTCATTGGTTTGCAACTTACAGCACAATGTTACACAAATAAATGCTGTTCTTCTGAACTTTCTGTTCATCTGTGAATCCTGAAAAATAAAATGCATCACAGTTTCCACAGAAATATTGTGCAGCACGACTGTTTTCAACATTGATAATAATCAGAAATGTTTCTGGAGCAGCAGATCAGCATATTATACTGATTTCTGAAGATCATGTGACACTGAAGACTGGAGGAATGATGCTGAAAATACAGCTGCACATCACAGAAATACATTACAGTTTAACAGAGATTCACACAGAACACAGCTGTTTTACATTCTAATAATATTTCACAGTTTTTACTGTATTTCTGATCAAATAAATGCAGTCTTGGTGAACAGAAGTGTATATGCAAAATAAACATTTATCCGACATTTATAATGTATAGAAAGCCAATTTTTGTCTAATAAAATGCTCTCGAACACTGATTCTCAAACTTTTTGGCTCCTATTGTCCAAGAAATGATTCAAAGACCCCTGAAATATAATTCTGATATGATCTTATAATTATTAAGCAAAACTAGAAATGTCAGTAAATATAACATTAAATAAACTCAATTAATTAATCATCATTCCAGACGTTTCAAGAACAGTTGCTCAGGGAACAAATTAAAGTTGGAAAGATGGAAATATTCAGAGTTTTAGCACTTTATAGCTAATTAAATCAAATAAAACTATATTTATTTAAAATCAAATTAAAATTATTTCAATTTAATTTAAATAATAATTTAAAGTAATTTGAACTTTGCTGAGGATCTAGAGTGAGAGCGTTCCTTCTCCTAAAGCCATCGTCCTCTAGAAACAGCTAAATGTTTTTCACTTCTCATATTGTGACATAAACCAAAGGCTACTGGTTACTTAAAAACAAGCATACAACACTGATGAATAAATCAGACTAGCTGATGATCCATAACTGCACACGCTGTCACACATCTGATCACCGTTTGTAAAACATTTACAAAACTGGACATTTGAAACGTTCAGAGAAAGACATGTTTTCACAGCTTAATGGGATTGTTAGCAGGACTCTCCTAGAACAGTGTAGGTAGTGATGCTCTGGAGTACAGACAGCAGTGGTGTTTGGGAACGGCTCTATGACACACCAGCTGCTCTTCTGTTCATACAGAAACTCTCCTGAAACGCCAAAAACATCCACAAACTACACAAATAAGTCTAAAACGGCTACTAGCCGACCACAATTACTGCTCCACTGTCACGGCCTCATGCCAGGATATATTTACCGGCCTGGAGTATAAATACACATACACACAGAACCAAAAACAAAGCCATGGGTGGAGAAATATGAGAGCCAGAGGAGCAGCCAGCATCGTCTGCACTGCGGTCAGGCCGTCCTCGCTTCCACTGAACTACTCCAGATCATCACTAGAGTTTGAGTAATTCATGAGGGGGACTGAATGCAGATCGCTTGCTTGAAATGTGCATGAAAGAATGACCCAAAGCTGATTGGATCAGAAGCTGTAGAAGAGTTCCTCTAATCTTCAGAGCAGCTGTGAGTGTGTGCTGATGCAGTACTGACCAGAAGGGGTCGCTCATCACGTCTCGGCCGTCGAAGGAGTACAGCGGGACGCCGGGGGGGAGGAGGGGGCTGGAGAAGATGCTGTCCCAGTTCTTGAACAGGAGCTCACCCTGCAGACACACAGCACACATCAGACACGCTCCTCTCATCACAGCACACACTGATACAGGAGTTTAGACTCTTAAGTCGGCAGTCTGAACCCACACAACTTTCCTTCTCTCATATAACTGAGGCTTTAAAGCTTTGAAAGACACAATTAAAGTGGGACTGCATAGCTTTGTGTGCAAAAGTGTTCAAACGTTTGGGGTTGGTAAGATTTTTTAATTTTTCTGAAAGAAGTCTCTTCTGTTCACCAAAGCTGCATTTATTTGATCAAAAATACAGTAAAAACAGTGAAATATTATTACAGTGTAAAACAGCTGTGTTCTGTGTGAATCTGTGTTAAACTGTAATGTATTTCTGTGATGCGCAGCTGTATTTTCAGCATCATTCCTCCAGTCTTCAGTGTCACATGATCTTCAGAAATCAGTATAATATGCTGATCTGCTGCTCAAGAAACATTTCTGATTATTATCAATGTTGAACACAGTCGTGCTGCACAATATTTCTGTGGAAACCGTGATGCATTTTATTTTTCAGGATTCTCAGATGAACAGAAAGTTCAGAAGAACAGCATTTATTTCAAATAGAAATCTTTTGTGACATTATAAATGTCTTTACTGGCACTTTTGATCCATTTAATGCATCCTTGATGAATAAAAGTATGAATTTCTTATTATCTTTTGAACAGTAGTGTTATTTGTTATTGACTAAAATCTTCCTTTGCTCTTCTTGAACTCATGACACGAGCACTGATGATCAGCAAATAAATTCTTTCATGCTTTCAGTGAACCATTTGATCTGTTGCACAAAACAATGATTTGCTCATACACTGAAACGATCCAGTTCTCGACTCAATGATCCAGTCGAAGCAGAAAGTTATCAGTAAATCACAACCGAAGTTTGGTTTGGAACGGCATGAGGGAGAGTAAAGGGTTCATTATTTTGGGTGAACTATCCATTTAAGACCTATTCACACCAAGAACAAAACAAATTCACACAACAGCCAGATGAAGATGCATTGACCAGTACTCACTAGAGTTGAGCACAGGCCTTAAATCTTTACAAAGAAGCTTCACAGCGCTCGTGAGAGATCATGAATTATTAGTAAGAATCACAGAAAGCCGCTTTACCCTCAGGTTGACGATCGGCGAGTTTGTTCGGTACATGGGTTGCATGGTGTCAATCAGGTCCTGTAGGTGGTGTGAGAGGAAGGCCTTGTAGTCGTCTCTGATGCCCATGGCTTGAGCTTGAGTCCTGCACAGTTTATTAACCGAGTGGATGGAGCCCAGGTTTCCCGTCAGCGGCGTGTTGAGAGCCACCAACCTCAGCTGAGACACAGAGACACGCGTAAGACAACCCTAACCCATGTATCCTCCAAACAACAGTAAATGTGATTGTAACTTAACATGACAATTCACAGAAATGCTACAAATGTGTAGTATATAGAGGGAAGCACCGGTATGAAAGCAGTTATCTGCACTATCGGCCATCATCCTGTCAATCAAAAGGGGGCGTGTCAAACTGCAACTCAAGTGTGAAGAAAATGCCTCTTGTGTTGAATATACACACTAATAACGCATTAATGCAATCTCACTAAATATATATATATAGCGCCGTTAACACAGGTTCTATTTGACCCTATAAATGACCCATTATTCTTGCAAGGGTTGCCAGATCTGCAGTTTTCCATTATTTGAAGTGCGTCTGTCATCCAAAAACTGCAAAGAGCCTTGTGCTTTGTTACTTCTGAAAAGAAACAAAGTCTCAACTCTCAAATAATGCCCATCAATATTAGCCGTCAAACAATAAATGCTGCTTTGATGCTCCTAAATGTGGCGTGACAGATCAAGTGCTGTAGCGCTTCAGTCTCGTCTGCTTTGATAGTTATAGCACGAAACAAACACGTGTTGAAAGATACAGTACAGCTTCCTGAGATGTCTCATGTACCTGATCAATCAGTGTTTCAACCGAAAGAAAGATGTCAAATAAAACAGCTTGTGATTAATATGTGACTATATGTTGCATTTACCTCAGGAAAGTTATCTCTGCTCGCAGCTAGAGCTTAATTACTGTAAATTATATAAGTATGTCTGAATAAATCTGTCATGAAGACAAGTTTTATGAAAACGACCTCATGTGCAGTTGAGTTGCATAGAAACATTTCAGTTTTTGTTTGCCTGTGATTATTAGATCGGAACATGAATAGTTTGGGCTCTGTATTAATTTAACCTCTAATACTGAGAGGGTTCCCTGAATAGTTTGCAGCATTAGTTAGGAGAGATTTTTTTTCCTTAGAAGACCAAGCTATCGTAATGGGCAGATGTCATTCTGAGTCATCCCATCTGTGGAGGAATTGAGTATAAGTGGCTCTCTAATATATCAACGCTTCAGTCTGAAACACACAAACACACTGAGCACAGACAGACACAGAAGCAGAGATTCTGTGGCTTGAGTGTGTGTTTGCCGTCGTCTCTCTTCAGAAACCCAGACCAGCTGGACGATCTTCACCAACAGCAGATGGACAGCACCATAATTTAGTCTAAAACGGGAGCTCTGGACGCCGCAGGGACGCTTTTAGAGGCCTCATGATCTTCAGACCGAAGTTTTTCAGAACCAAACCATGACAAATCTCACATTCGTCTCTGTGGACGACAGCCTGGGAATGTTTGTGAGGTGAGTTGGACTGAGAGCGTGTTCAGCGCACTGCATCATGGGACTGATACGCTGTAAAAGCGCAGGATGCGAGACGAACGTTTTTCTGGGTTTTACCGCTGCTGGGGAGAAGATTCCAGCAGCAGGAGCCAAACACTCAACTCATGAATAAACACACACAGCTGACTCCTGACATGAGCACACACACACACACACACACACACACACACGCACTCACACACACACACACACACACACACACACACTCACACACACTCACACGCACTCACACACACACGCACGCACGCACTCACACACGCACACATTCACACACACACGCACGCACTCACACACACACACACATTCACACACACACACACACTCACACACACTCACACACACTCACACGCACACACACACACGCACTCACACACACACACACACATTCACACACACACACACACGCACACGCACGCACTCTCACACACACACTCACACACACACACTTACTGCGTTTCCGGTGTGTATTTTGGGTGTGTGGCTGATTTGTGGGGTCAGAATCAGGGGTTCAGCCTGTAGGGGAACACAGAAACATGAGTGCCACAAGACATAAAAAGACCATATTAAAAAACTTTTTTTTGTCCAATAAAATGTGTTCAGTGTGAACCAAAATGCAGTCCTTACATCATCCTGTGAGAGGACGGGGGACGAATACATCTCAATCAGCCCGCCGAGCTGTGGAAGAAACTCCACATGAAAACTGACCACTTCTAGCTGAGAGAAACTCAACATAAGCTCTGAAATATGAAGAGTATGATGAGCGCTGTTGACAGCTGGTATGAGTTACCTGAACCTCTCTCCAGCCTCCTGGAACCTTTACATAGAGTTTACTAGTGTCAATAACGAAAGACAGCGTCCCGTCCTCGAGCACAGACGACTGTCTCATGGCCTGCAGACTCACATACTTCCTGACCTGCAGGAAAACATGCCATTCATTACAGTGAAATACATATAGAAATTCTGCCACGACTTTCTTTCTTCCATGGAACACAAAACAAGATCTTTAACATATTTAAATGCTGCTGCTGCTCTTTCGAAATTTATAGTAATATATATTATATTTATAGTAATATTTAGTATATAATCTGAAAAATACCAGTATTAACCATTGTAATGAATGGAATTTAATTACATTTCTTCAAGTTAATACCTCATGATTGCTCAAAAAACGTCCACATTTATAAAACCTACATATTTATTTCAAACAAAACAACATAGATATTACTCTGAAACGTTTTCATACAAAAAAATAAAAATAATAATAATTTTACTTCCATAAACTTTCACTTTCAGATGCAAAAAGTGGTAAAACATTTTCATTGGTTATATCTCTTTAAACATTAATTGTAAAATTCAGAATTTATTCTGAAAAGTATTTAAAATGTATTCAGAATGAATGATTAAATGATGTGCATTTAAGGGTCTTAAAGCATTTGCAAAGTTTCATTCCCTTACTAATTATTATGCATTAAGCAGTGCATCTTTCTGAATGAAAGTGAGCATGTTTGATAAAGCAGTCCAGGTCAGGTTGGGCTCATAGGCCAAAATCAAGTATGAGCATCTTGAGCTATCCTTCGAGAAATATGACTGTATTCTGAAAACTGACCTCGATTACTGCTGTGAACATCTCAGGATCTCAGTGTTTGCATAAGGACACTCGAGCAGAGTGACAGTAAAGTAAATGACTGATGTATTTCACACGTTTGATGATACTGTTAGTGTTGTGTTTTCACTCACGGCACTGGAGGCCTCAGCGGCTCGTCCCGGGAGCCCGGGGGGTCCAGGAGGGCCAGGGATCATCAAGCCTGAAACAACATGAACTCTTGAGCGTCTGTGCATATCAAAGTGTGATAGCAGCAGAAATGTTTGCCTTCTTCACGGTGAGATGAAGAGCTGTCGGGACGCTCAGCAGGGAGGAGCGTCTGAGGGGCTCCCTCATAACCTTACATCAACAACACATCACTCCTGCGTCACAGCAGGACATCAGGACGGCTTCAAACAAATAAACATGTGAACCTCGTGACCCGCACCTAAGAAAGGGCTGCTGGCTTTAGTGACCTGGACTGGGCTGAAGATAACCGTGGATTTGTGGAAATGAGAAAAAAATACAAGAGACTTTTGAAATGTCAAATACTTTAAGGTTTTTCGTACCAGATCCGTGTTGTCCAGGAGGTCCGGGAGGCCCTGGCGGTCCAGGAGGTCCTGCGACGCCACTTCTCCCGAAACCCGGTGCACCAGGGGGTCCTCGTGGTCCTGGATGACCAGGGGGTCCAACAACAGATTCTCCTTTAGGTCCCTGCTGACAAAACCAATATTATTAGGCATTTCACAGCATTACTGTACATGTGAAAACCCATCCATCTTGACTCAAAAACACCAGACTTGGTCAAATTAAAGGAATAGTTCAACCAGTAATAAAAATGATCTTCCAGTTATTCAAAATGTCTTTTAAATAATAACAGCATGTGGATGGAAATTAGTGAGCAAACAATGCTTCTAAAATTAAAATTATTATTATTATTTTTTTTTTGGTGAATTTGTCTTTTTTTTTATCCATAATATATCATAATGTATAATTATATATTACCTATATAATTTTAGTATCATTGAAATGCTTTTATAATTTGATTAATATTTTCAATCAGTTTTTATTTTTATATTTTCCATTTTAGTTTTAATTTTATTTTAAGATTTTGTAATTTTTTGAAAAAATGTTTTTGTCATTTTTAGTTGTTATTCTTATATATATACTGTATATTAGGGCTGGTAATTTAATGTGTTAATTAGATGAATTAATTACAGTGAAAAATAACGCGTTAAAATTATTAACACATTTAATAATTGTTTACGCACTTGCCCCGCCCCAGATCAATGTGGGTCATCTGACATTTCATACAGTTGATTGATTACAAATACAAGGCAGGGCAACAACTCACTGCGTGATGAAGCCTAGAGAATATAGTTAGAATGTCCCTAAAATTCAAGATATGGGGCAAAAATGCCCCTGTTTCAGTTTTTGTCTCATATTTACATCGTATAGTTAAGCAGTATCACACGAGCAATAAGTGCAATATCACACAAGTGCAAATGTGATACTGATCTTATACAACAGTTCAGTAAATAAGAAGTTAATATTGTGTTATTTTAGACACAATGTTGTCTGTTTTGCTCAATTTTGCCAAAAGAAAAAATAAAGACAAAGCAGAACTGTTTGTCTTTCATTTAATTTCTTAATGCACGTTTTGAACGAATTGGGTGAGACATTTATTTAAAAGCATCTCAACCCGCTCAGAAGCAGTTCAGAGTTTTGGCATAAGGGACACAATGTCTTTGTTCCCTCCATTAGAGAATGAGGGTTGCCATATGTAACCGAGATACAACCTATGGACTCACTAAAAGGGAGTTCTACATAGGGAAGGTTTCTGTGGGGACAACTACCAAGCACTGAACCAGGCGACAGACCAGTTGTCTGTCTAGGGAAACACTGAGTCTTTATTAGGAAAAGGGCAGTGGATTAATTAATTTCCTTCCTTGAAAGGAATAGCTTGCAGGGTCACCACTTGGTCCATAAGGGGAGTAGTGGCAATCTTTGGCATGCATCCAGGCCGGGGTCTCAGAATAATGTAAGAGTTGCTGGTCCGAATTCTAGGCACGTTTTGTAAACAGAGAGGGCTTAGATTTTTCATCTTCTCAGTGAGTATCGTCAGGAAGTCGTCTTCGTAGAGAGGAACTAATTCAACTGATTAGAAGGCTCAACAGATCTCTTTCTGTAAGGCCTCAAGGCCACTGAGAGATCCCAAGAGAGGATGAAGCGCGTTCTAGGAGGATTCAACCTCTGCGCACCTCATAAGATCCTAATAACCAGATTTTGCTTCCCCACCAATCTGCCATTCACAGGTCCGTGGCTCACCGCATACACCCTGAGTGTAAATGCAGAAGGGTGTCTGTCCAGGCCCTCTTGGAGCAAGGACAGCACTGATCCGATACCACATCTCCACGGGTCCTTCCCTTGGGAAGAATGCCTTTTTCCTCACGAAAATGTGCCACTTTAGGTTGTATAACCACCTTGTGAGGGGGCTCTAGCCTGAGTGATAGTGTTCACCACTGTAGGGGAAAGACCTCTAATCCCAGCTCATCCCATTGAGGGACCGAGTATGGGGATTCCAGAGATCTGGGCACGGGTGCCAAATAGTGCCTTTGCAATGAGGCTCACTGGGGTAGATGCATACTTGCGTAGGCCCCCAGGCTAGCTGTGTGCCCGTGCTTCCGTGCTGAGGAAGGTCTCAGATTGGGAACCACAATGGGCAAAGGGAGGAATCCTGTGAGGCAACAGATGTGTCTGTGCATGACTGAATCATTCCAATCAGCTGAACCGTCTGGGGATGGAGCCTCCACTCATCTCGGAGAGAAACCTGTCGCAAGAGTGATTCCGCTGTGCAAATGAGGTCACCCAGAATGTGAGTGGTTTGCAGAAACCTAAGTTCAGCTGGCTCCAGGAGGAGATGACGGGTGAGTTGTGGCATACGATGGGAGCGACTACTATGCTGTGCTGTCCTTCCGAACTAGCACGTGCTTGTCCTGGATCAACTGTCAAGAAAAAAGCACTGCCAACAACTTTTGGGCAATCGACTGCCCGTGCAGGCAGGAACCGAACAGGTCCCTAAGGCTGCATGCCCATTGCATGAAGCACCTCAACCTATCCTGGAATCCGTTGTTAGAACGGTGCTTTTGGACACTGATCTAGAGGCACACCCTCCCATAGAAACAGAGGTCCTTCCGAGGACTGGAATGAGACAGCACCTCGTGTGAAAGCCACATGGTGCCAGTCACTGAGCCATGCTCATCTCAGAACTCGGTCATACAGGCAGTGCTGAAGCTGTCTTATAAGCATCTTCTGCTGGCATGACGCGATCAAGGATACCATACCCCAGGAGCCTCTTAGTAATTCAAGAGTAACTGCTATTCCGTGCTTGGAGCCCCCAAGCAACTCAGCACTGTTGGAGCACAGACCTCCTCGAGATGTGCTGCCTGGAAACCGAATCCAATTTCATACCGAAAAAAGAGGTGCTTTACCCAGTGGAGAACTTACTCTTTTCCCAGCTGACCTGAAGGCCCATTTGGACTGGGTGATGGGGTAACATGTCCCTGTGTACACCCACCAAGTCTCGAGAGTGCGCAAAGAAGCCAGTCAACAAGACAATTGAAGGTGTGAGCACCCACTTCCCTAAGAGGGAACTGGTGGTGTCACCTGGCTGCGAGAAGATAGCCGTTAGTTGGGCTTAACCACCGGTAGGGTCAGTGAAGTTCTTGAAGGGTGTCCCTGGCGACAAGCAGGCGGTGATTGCTACATCGGGGGTCCAAGGATAGAACCCAACCCAAGCTGGGGCAGAATACTTCCACCCACTTGCTGACTGTCGAGAATTGCTGGGCAAATTCTTCAGATGGTGTCACCAGAGAGACCAACCTGGGAAATAGGGGCATCTAGAAAGAGAACTTTCTCAGAACCAACATCCCCGTCAGGTTGAACCACAGGTGGCACTTCTGAGCCACTAATGTGGACATAGCCCTCCCAAGAAGGAGTCTGTTGTCTGACGGGAGTCTCAGACTGCCCCAGCAGGTGGCGGCGTTTTCGCGCAAAATGCACCACGATCGCTCTCTCCATTGGGGGACACCCTTATATCCCTTCGCTGGACCGACGTCAAGGGAGGTGATAAAGAACGCGAGCCTTGAACACACCGTGCTGACAACCATGTCCTCACTAGAAGGACATAAACCATCCACAAAATCTGCTTCAGCATGGGCGCAGCCCAAACACTGAGCACAGCGATCGAGCCTGTCAGAGGGTGAGATGTACAAACCGCAACCAGAAGGGCATGGATGGAAAGGTATGTTGTAAACACACACAAATCCACCCGTGGAACTCTTTTAGGAGGAAATTTGCTTTCAGAGATTGGCGTTGAAGCACCCAGGGGTACTCTCACTACACTTATCTGTGTATGAACAAGGGAGGACGCGTGAGCAAATGCCACGCTGGCGTATTCATACCCGGATATCTGGGGCGTGGCCAGCTATGCACATTTTTGCTATCCATTTTCATTGGCCTTTTCTCAATGATGTCAGAGGTGTCTGGGCTCCCAAGTGCAACCCCTAGTGTTGGAACTTGGACACAACTTTGAAGTGACCGACTGAAAGGGAACTCTGAACTATCAATCAGACGACAGAAGGCATGGAGTAGATTTTGTGAAACGGCAAGGTTTGATCATGTTGATCATTTAGAGCTTTAGAAAGTCATGATCGAATATGATACAGTAGCTGTATGGGGTTAAAATAAATGCAACTCTTCTGGAGTCTAATGGGAGATCTGACAGAATTAGTGGTCATGTAATGCTTTCAGTTGCAGTGATCTTATATAAATTGATGTGTATATATATATCTGTCACTCACTGCTGAACCTGATCTCCCCGGCAGCCCTGGCATCCCAGCTTCTCCTTTCTCTCCTCTGAAACCCTGGTCACCTTGACCAGCCTGACACAGACATGCATTCAACAACAACAGGTCAATGCAGTTCCTCAGTCTCTATTTAATCAATGTTGAAACGCTCTCAATATCTGTGAGAGAATGTCTGATGAAGAATGTCTAGATGAAACTCACCGTGACTTTGGTTCCCAGTGTGTCGCCTATGAGAGAACAGATCAGAGCATTAGAAACACGCGTGAGTTCAGAACGACATGCAACAAACACCTCAAAGTCAAGCTGTTCCAGGAAAGAAGGTGTGGTGTGATGTGACTGTCAGGTACATACTGGAGGAGGACGCTGATGATGATGATGGCAGATCTCTCTTCTGTCCAGACGATGAGCTGCTGGCGCCCCCTACAGGTCAGAACCACACAATCAACACAAACCGTCAGAACAACACCAGCAAACAGATCATACTGACAAAAACTATTCCAAATATGTAACATTAAAATTTGACATTTTAAAAATGAAAAGTTATTTTTGAAAATTACAGATTGTAGAAAGTACATACTTCAAGTTCACATTTAAGCAAAATAGAGGAGTAATCATTAAGCAGACAAAACCATTGCCTGATTCATTCTAAGTAAAAAATGACAAAAAATAATCTGATCTGATTCTAATGTGAATTCGTTTTAACAAGAAAAGTGAGACAAAAAGTGAAGATTATTTTGTACTGCTAAAAACACTACCATCCAATAGTTTGGGGTTGGTACATTATTTTTAATGTTTCTGAAAGAAGTCTCTTCTGCTCACCAAGGATGCATTTATTTGATCAAAAATACAATAAAAACAGTGAAATATTATTACAGTGTAAAACAGCTGTGTTCTGTGTGAATCTCTGTTAAACTGTAATGTATTTCTGTGATGCGCAGCTGTATTTTCAGCATCATTCCTCCAGTCTTCAGTGTCACATGATCTTCAGAAATCAGTATAATATGCTGATCTGCTGCTCGAGAAACATTTCTGATTATTATCAATGTTGAACACAGTCGTGCTGCACAATATTTCTGTGGAAACTGTGATGCATTTTATTTTTCAGGATTCACAGATGAACAGAAAGCTCAGAAGAACAGCATTTATTTGAAACAGAAATCGACTGTAACAAAGCTCTTTACTGACACTTTTGAGCAACTTAATGCATCCTTGATGAGTAAATGTATTAATTTCTTATTTAAAAATCATACTGTCCTCAAACGTTTGATCAGTAATGTATGATAATCAGAAAACATCTCTTAAAACTCACCTTGTTTAGAATCACTGTTAACCTTACCAAAAGAAAAGAAAGACAAATAAATGTTAATATAACCGGTGAGAAACAGTGTTAATTCAACACACTGGATGAATATGGAAGACAGAGGAAAGGTCAGTCATGTTCTGATGTTCATGAGATGAAGTATTTCAGCAGCAGATGCTCCGGTGTGGTTGTGAAGGTCTTGCACAACAAGCAACAACTAAAACTTTTCCATTCGGAAAACTAAACATCATGCAATGCTCGTTCCATTTGGAGATCATGGCATACGAGAACACAGCAGAGTCTGGAGAAGCATGAAGCGTTTATGTCCTCAGCACACCAGCAGCATGATCATGAGCATTCCTCTGTCCGTATGACATGCAGCATGCTGAAATGACTGCCATACAGATGCATGTGTGGTTATGGACTATACGCACTGAATGCTGGGATATGCACAACTCTCCAGCCTTCATATGTCCAGTTACAGAGTGATAAAACAGGCACAAATCTGAGATTACAGCTGCATTATGTGCTAATTTTAGATCATTATCCACAGAATGCATCACTATTTAAACATAACGTGTGTTTACTATGAAATCACTGACTCAGAAACAGCCACTGGAGCTTTGCTTTGACTCTATGAGTCTCAACATACAGCGGCTGCACTGAAGGAATGACAACAGGCAAACAGGCAGTCATCTCTACCTGAAGCACCTCATGCCGTAGATAAAGGGAAAATGGTCATATAAAGAAAGATAATAATGCATGAAATCACATATTTGCCCCTTTGACATCTGTTAAGTTCATATAAAATGCACTTAATGAATTGGTTATTAGCAGAGACAGTAGATATGTGCATTAAACTTAAGATGGGTCAAGTGTGCATTACTTAAAAGGTCTTCACTTTTAATTATGACAAATCAACTGAAATGTGGAGGAATAATTATTGAGCAGCGTTAGAGTTTAAAGACGATGATGATGATGATGATGATGATGACGATGATATTGAGCTGTAGACAGTGCGTCACACACATCAGTCACTCACGGGTATTTTGCAGCCGGGTCGAGGAGGGACTGGAAACACGGTCTACAGAAACATGAGGGAAAGTGACACTGAGCAACAGCACAGAGCCTCTGTGTGTATGAGACAGAGACAGAGACACACTCACTCCGTTAGGACAGCTGAAGATTCCCGCTCGTCCTGGAGGCCCCGGCGGCCCCGGCGGGCCCTTCAGACAAAAACAAAACATACACCATTTACACCATCACAAACTATTACCAAACATCATCGACCGGAGATCTACAGCAGACGGGTGGAGCAAGAGATTTCAACACGCACCCATCTTACTAATGAAGGAAAGCGATTAGCACAACAGTCTGCTCTCCGCTTCTAAATGCTTACAGACACTTGTTGTTTTTGCTGTTGTTATGCAGTTTGTGTAACTGCCATGCACATCCTTGATCTTTTAGATAAAACTGCTCATTTCTTTTTTGTAGAGTATGTAGAGGTAGACAGTGAGGCCCACTTTAAAGGAATAGTTCACAAAAAAAAAAAAATTATTTGCTGCAAATGTACTCATCCTCAGACCATGAATTTGTTTCTTCATCAGGTTTGTAGACATGTAGCACTGCATCAGTGTCTCAGCAATGTCCTTCTTGTGGATTATTGTGATGTTTTTATCAGCTGTTTGGACTCTCATTCTGACGGCACCCATTCACTGCAGAGCATCCATTGCTGAGACACTGATGCAGAGCTACATTTCTACAAACCTGATGAAGAAACAAACTCATCCTGATCTCGGATGGTTCGAGGATGAGCACATTTTCAATTAATTAAATTTTTTTGAAGAATAATCAAGTTCGGCATTTTGGTTCTTGTAAATTCTGGGGAAAAGACGTGAAATGGTTTGAGAAACAGAGAGCTCAACAATCTAGTTTTGTTACTGAAGTGCCATTTAAAATATCCATATCCATATATACATTTTTTAAACAATAATGTATTAAAACTTTCAAGACAGACAAAGCATGAGCTTCAAGGCTGCTAAAAGATGACATATGCTACGGTAGTAATCAGTGCCATTTCATTTGAAAATGGGTGAAAAATATGTTTCAGAAATATATATAAACTCACAGGTAAACCGACAGAATCTCCTTTTTCACCCTTACGGCCGTTAATTCCTGGACGACCCTGAAGAAACACAGCATCACATCCACAATTACAACCACAACACTCTGTGTATATACATATCTTCAAACGTTTGGGGTATTAAAGAAATTAACACTTTTATTCATCAAGGACGCATTAAATGGATCAAAAGTGACAGTAAAGACATTTATAATGTTACAAAAGATCTATATTTCAAATAAATGCTGTTCTTCTGAACTTTCTGAAATCCTGAAAATAAAATGCATCACGGTTTCCACAGAAATATTGTGCAGCACGACTGTGTTCAACATTGATAATAATCAGAAATGTTTCTCGAGCAGCAGATCAGCATATTATACTGATTTCTGAAGATCATGTGACACTGAAGACTGGAGGAATGATGCTGAAAATACAGCTGCGCATCACAGAAATACATTACAGTTTAACACAGATTCACACAGAACACAGCTGTTTTACATTATAATAATATTTCACTGTTTTTACTGTATTTTTGATCAAATAAATGAGCCTTGGTGAGCAGAAGAGACTTCTTTCAGAAACATTAAATACTCTTACGGACCACAACCTTGAACATCACTGTTAATCTTGTTAAGCGTTATATAATGCTGTAATGTCCACTAATGCAGTTAATGACAGATACTGTATATTGAGTCTGCATGTACAGGTTTATGATTTTAGGTAACGTACTGAATGTCCTGGAAATCCAAACTCGCCCTTTGGTCCAGCGGGTCCGATGGGGCCCTGCATGTGATGACATAAGACAGAAATCAGAGGAATGCAGACTAACACAAACAGGTGCAGAGCTGAGTGTCGTCTGCTCTCGCCTCAGCACTTCAGCACAAAACCTTTTGAACAGAAGCAGCTGTACGCAAACAGCAAAGCCCCCGGAACGGGAAAAACACAGATGAATTGTAAAAGAGTAAAGGAGTCCGAATGTTGTAAGAATTGCAGAAAAGTATCGAAACGACTGATTTGCATTGTGTTGTGTAGCTCCGCCCACAGGGAACTCTCATTGGTCCATTTCACATAGTTAAATATTAAATGTCAAGTGTGCACTGATTGGCTGTGATTTTGTCATTTCTTGTGGTATTTGTTTTAAATGTGGACAGAAAAAATTACGATGCTGGAAACTGAGAAATTCAAGTTTTAGAAAACGAATTTCTACAGGAAAATTGAGGAACGCCAGAACAATAGTTGGAGAATGATGTAAATAACTATATTTTTCTGATCACTGATGGGATTAATTAAACATACTCCCTCTAAACTTTCATTTGGAACATTCATAATGAATAATAAGAGTCAAAGTTTAATAAATGAGTCACAACATCTTCCTCTCACCGTTTGACCTGGAGCTCCAGGAACGCCACAGTCTCCCTGTGACAATCAAAGAAAATAATCAAATAGATGCTTTACTAATCATGTCCGTCTATCTGAACGGTCTCAGAGAGGTTTGGTCTTGAGTAATGCAGCGGTTAGAGGACTGTGAAGGCTAAAGAAGTCATCGCTGACCTTCAGTCCTTTCGCTCCCTGCGGCGCATGAACTCCAGACACAATCCCCGGCTCTCCTTTCTGACCCTACAGCAGCAATTCATGCGAAACACACACAGCAGAATTAAAAACACACTCACATCCATATTCAGCAATGACAAGAACTTCTGATGACAATCTATGAAATCCGAATATGATACACACGCAAACCTCTGCAGCTATTTGAATCACACACACACACACACACTCACTGTACACACAAGAGTGTGTGTGTGTTTGTGTGCATGTGTGTGTGAGCGTGTGCATGTGCATGTGTCTGCGTGTGTGTGTGTGCGTGTGTGTGAGCGTGTGCATGTGCATGTGTGTGCGTGTGTGTGTGAGCGTGTGCATGTGCATGTGTGTGCGTGTGTGTGTGTGTGTGCGTGTGTG